TAATGACCAAGGATGTTTTACATTTTTTGAAGTGATTGAAATGTGAACAATTTTCATATATTTAAATATATCAATGTCAAATATATATAAAACTTATGTAATTATAAAAACATTTCAAAATGCTCTTTTGAGCTGGGCACAGTGGCATGGACCTGTGCCAGCTACTGGAGAGGCTGAGGCAGGAGGATGAGCCGAGCAGTTCAAGACTGCAATGCACTGTGATCACACCACTGCACTCCAGCCTGGGCAACACAGCGAGACTTGTCGCTAAAGCAAACAGACGTAAAAATTAAGTGCTCTTTAACCATTTACTCCATGAATCATTTTTATCATGGTAGCTCCTTCTAAGCAAATGCCTATTTCCCCCCAAAACACCTGCATATTCTTTCTTGTAGTCTCCTCCTACTTCTTGTGAATTTCTTTCTCTCATTTATACCCTTGTGCTTTTCTTAACTGAGGCCAAATTGAGGCCAACATTTTCCTCCTCTCCTTGATTCAATGTCTGTTATTTTACCTGTGAGTACAGATATTAGATCCTCTTTTAGAGAAAGGGTTAATAATTATACTTGATGATTTTAACTCTGTTATATATGATTTATACTTGAAATATTGGGTCACAATCTAATGTATCATAGGTGCTACATGAATGATGTAATGATGAAGAGATCTCAGGTTATCATGGTTATATGGCAAGGTTTCATTAAAATAGTGTTTATTCTTTGCATTTGTTTGAGGATAGAGAACACATTCCTTGATGTTGCCTTTATTTTCTTATGGCACATTAATCCTGAATTGATTACTAATTAAATATTTCGGTGTTGCTCTGATTCTGACTACCAAGGGCCTGACAGACAAATCACATAGGCTTCTTCCAGTCTTTATCAAAAATGATGATGATGATGATGGTGGTGGTGATGACAACTACAAATTATTCTCTCCTTTCTGAAGGATTCATTTAATACCCCACCATAATCTCATTTACCAAAAAAACCACATGCTAATGGAGTATATGTAACTAAAACAATCTAGTAAATAAAAGGCAAATCTACATTTTGAAACCCTTGTCAGACTTCAAACTCCACCTCCTCACCAACAGCATTACATGCCTGTGGAAATTGCATGTATTGAACCATCACATATTTTCTAGAAAGGCCTACACTTTACTTATAAAACACTGATGTTTCTTATGGTCTCCTACAATTCTCAAATTGATTACGAATTATCCAGTATTTTCACCAATTTGTGCCTCACCTACAAATGTGATGTGTTCACAAAATGACAAGAAAATATCTTGACTATTTTATATAGTTGGCAAAATAAAATTAACATTTGGTAGTTATTTTGAGAGTCTGAAATGTGATCAACAAAATAAAAAATTCTAATAATTACTGGTATAAAATAATCACCCAGGTGGCTCATGTACATTGCTCAGTTAATTCTCACCATAAGTTCACAAGGTCCAGAGGGTGAGTTTCTTACAATTATTTCAGTGACTCCTGTAGAAAACAGAGCTAGTGGCTCTTGTGGGTTGAAAAGAGAGGATGCTTATGCTTCCAACTTACATGACTGTAGAAAATGATTGGGAAACTAGAAAATGACATATCCTGATGAGTGAAATGGGAAGGATAGAGTGGAACAGAGCGGAGCAGGTGATGATTGCCGTCAGCAGTAATCAGGATGTGTTCCAACCACAGGAACAGGAGTGGCAACAGCAAAGCATCACCAGTGCCCTCAGCAGAGAGACAGGAAATGGAGAATTACCATCAGTGAATTACTGTTAAAAAAAAAATCAATAAAGCAGCACGTGGCCAGTGGTCATAATAAGTACAAAGAAAAACACAGACTATTGGCTGGGCGCGGTGGCTCACTCCTGTAATCCCAGCACTTTGGGAGGCCGAGGAGGGTGGATCACGAGGTCAAGAGATCAAGACCATCCTGGTGAATATGGTGAAACCCCATCTCTACTAAAAATACAAAAAAAAAAAAAAAAAAATTAGCTGGGCATGGTGGCAGTGCCTGTAATCCCAGCTACTCAGGAGGTTGAGGCAGGAGAATTGCCTGAACCCAGGAGGCGAGGTTGCGGTGAGCCGAGATCGCACCATTGCACTCCAGCCTGGGTAACAAGAGCGAAACTCAATCTCAAAAAAAAAAAAAAAAAGAAAAACACAGACTATTATAACACTGCAACTGTGCTGTGTAAACCACTCATGTCTTATGTAGAAACAGGTAAAGATTAATCAATCAAAAATAATAACTATAATGACTTTTCAAGATATCCACAATATAATAAGATAAATAGAAACAACAAAAAGTTAAAAAGTGGGGAGATGAAGTTTGAGATTTTGTTTTCTTTTGCTTGTTTATGCAATCAGTGTTATCAGTTTAAAATAATCGGTTAAAAGACTATCTGCAAGCCTCAATGTAATCTCAAATCTAAAACATACAACAAACACACACAAAATAAAAAGGAGAAATTAAAACACACACCAGAGAAAATCACCCATAGTAAAAGAAAGACAAAAATGAAGAAAGGAAGAAGAGAAGACCATCAAATAATCAGAAAACAAATAACAAAATGACAGGAATAAGTCCTCATAAAGAATAACATTGAATGTAAATGTGCTAAAGTCTCCAATCAAAAGACATGGAGTGGCTTAATGTATTTTAAAAAACAAACAAACAAAAAATACCCCCAGGTGTGTGTGGTGGCTTGTGTCCATAATTCCAGCACTTTGGGAGACCACGGCAGGTGGATCACTTGAGCCAAGGAGTTCGAGACCAGCCTGGCCAACATGGCACAACTCCATCTCTACTAAAAATACAAAAAATTAGCTGAACGTGGTAGCACATACCTGTGGTCCCAGCAACTTCATAGGCTGAGTCATAAGAAAAGTTTGGACCTGAGAGGTGGAGATTCTAGTGATCCGAGCTGGACTGAGCCACTGCACTCCAGCCTGGGTGACAGAGCAAGACTAACTCAACAAAACAAAGCAAAACAAAACAAAACAAAAACTCCTAGAGGCAATAATCCATTGCCTACAAGAAATATACTTCACCTATAAAGACACAAATAGACTGAAAATAAAGGGGAAAAAACATTCTGTACCTATGGGAACAAACAAACAAAAAAAATTAGAAGCTACACTTGTATCAGACAAAATGGATTGCAAGACAGAAACTATGAAAAGAGAGAAAGAAGGTCATTATATTATGATAAAGGGGTCCATTCCGCAAGAGCATATATAATAAATAAATATTACCAACACTGGAGCACTCAGGTATACAAATATCATTAGAACTAAAAAGAGAGATAGACCCCAATACGATAGTAACTGGAGACTGCAACACTGCACTTTCAGCATTGGACAGATCACCCAGACAGAAAATTAACAAACATTGAATTTCATCTACACTATAGACCAAATGTACCTAATAGATATTTACAGAACATTTCATCCAACAGCTACAGATACACATTCTTCTCCTCGACACATGGATAATTCTCAAGGGTATACCAAATGCTAGGTCACAAAACAAATCTTAAAATATAGAAAAAAAGTAAAATAATATTAAATGTCTTCTCTTACCACAGACTAAGAAAAAAAGAAGTCCCAGATAAATACAATCACAGATGAAAGAGGAGACAGCACAACCAACACCACAGAAAATCAAAGAATCATTAGAGGATATTATAAGGAACTATATGCCAATAAACTGGAAAGCCTAAACAAAATAGATAAATTCCTAAAAAAATACAACATATTGGTCTGTTCAGGTATTGTATTTCTTCACAGTTTCATGAAGAAATACAAAAACCATGAAGAAATACAAGAATGGTTCTAGAAGACACACAAGAATTGTTTCTTGTATTTCTTCAAGGTTTTTGTATTTCTTCACTGAAGTGTGAAGAGATATGAAGTGTGAACAGAACAATAATAAGTAATGGGGCAGAAGCCATACTAAAAAGCCTCCCAGCAAAGAACCCAGGATCTGATGGCTTCACTGCTGAGTTTTGCCAAATATTTAAAGAACTAATACCAATCCAACTCAAATTATTTTTAAAAATACTGGACAGAATCTTTCCAAATTCATTCTATGAGGCCAATATTACTCTGATACCAAAACCAGAAAAAGACACATTTATAAAAAAGAGAAAAACTACAGGCCATTATCTCTAATGAACATTGACACAGAAATCCTCAACAACAAGTTAGCAAACTGAATGCAAGAACACATTAAAAAGATCATTCATCGGCGGAGGTTGCGGTGAGCCGAGATCATGCCATTGCACTCCAGTCTGGGTAAAAAGAGCGAAACTCCATCTCAAAAAAAAAAAGGAAAAAAAAAAAGATCATTCATCATGACCAAGTGGAATTTATCCTAGAGATGCAAATGTGGTTAAGCATGTGCAAATCAATGGATTTAATGTTGTTCAATGAACATAATGTCCTCCAGCTCCATCCATGTTGTTGCAAATGATAGGATCTCATTCTTTTTTATGGCTAAGTAGTACTCCAATGTGGATAAGTGCCATACTTGCTTTATCTAGTCGTCTGTTAGACAACTAAATTGCTTCCAAATAGTAACCGTTGTGAATAGTGCTGCAATAAACATGGGAGTGTAGATATCTCATTGACAAACTGATTTCATTTCCTTTGGATAAATACCCAGTAGTGGGATTGCTGGATCATAAGAGGGTTAAATGGTGATGGTTAATGGGCACAAAAATATAGTTAGAAAAAATGAATATGATTTAGTATTTGATAGCACAATAGGATGACTACAGTTAATGACAATTTATTATATATTTTTAAATAACCAAAATAGTAGAAATGGGATATATGTAACAGGGAAATAAATAAATGCTTGAGGCATCAGATACTCCATTCACCCCAATGTAATTATTATGCATTGTCTGCCTATATCAAAATATGTCACATATCCCATAAACACAGATGTCTATTATGTACCCTCAAAAATCTATTTTCAAAAAAGTTGCTCTAAAAATATAGTTATCAAGTTAAGTAAAATGTCAATAGACTTTTAATTTAATTTTCATTGTTTTACCATTCTTTATAATGATAAAAAATATTAAGTCTATACTTTTTTATTTAATGTACAGAATACAGATATACATAAGATACATAAATACATACACAGTATAAATGTGATTAAAATATAATGGGAGATTTCATCAGAAAAAAAAAGTCTCTAAAAAGGCTCTGGGGTTGGAGAGGAAGGAAGCAATAATGAAAAAAAATGTGGTGAGAAAAAAGACTTCAAACCCATTTAAAGAATGCGTAAAGAAAGGAAAAAGAGAAATAGAAACTAACATGGGCATTTGGAAAGTAGAAAATAGTATGTTCCCTATTTAAGGCTATGCACAAAGCAAGGTCTTCAGAGAGCCTGGAGCCTAAGGTTCAGGTTCACCCATTTCAACCAAAATAGCAGCATCTGCAACAACTACAATGGCCTTGACCTTTCCTTTACTGATGGCCCTCATGGTCCTCAGCTACAAGTCAAGCTGCTCTCTGGACTGTAATCTGCCTCAAACCCACAGCCTGGGTAACAGGAGAACTTTGATGCTCCTGGCACAAATGAGGAGAATCTCTCCTTTCTCCTGCCTGAAGGACAGACATGACTTTGAATTTCCCCAGGAGGAGTTTGATGGCAACCAGTTCCAGAAGGCTCGAGCCATTTTTGTCCTCCATGAGATGATCCAGCAGACCTTCAACCTCTTCAGCACAAAAGACTCATCTGCTGCTTGGGATGAGACCCTCCTAGACAAATTCCGCACTGAACTTTACCAGCAGCTGAATGAATTGGAAGCCTGTGTGATGCAGGAGGTGGGGGTGACAGATACTCCCCTGCTGAATGAGGACTCTACTCTGACTGTGAAGAAATATTTCCAAAGAATCACTCTCTATCTGAAAGAGAAAAAATACAGCGCTTGTGCCTGGGAGGTTGTCAGAGCAGAAATAATGAGATCTTTTTCTTCATCAACAAACTTGCAAAAAGGTTTAAGAAGTAAGAAATGAAACCTGGTTCAACGTGGAAATGATTCTAATTGACTAACACACCAGCTCACCTTTCTATGATCTTCCATTTCAAAGACTCATGCTTCCCCTTTGACCATGACACCATGTCAATCTTTTCAAACGTTTTTAGGAGTATTAAGCAACATTGTATTCAGCTCTTAATGCACTAGTCCCTTACGGATGACTATGCTGACTGATCTATTATCTATTTAAATATTATTTGAATATTGTTTATTTAACTATTTATAAGACTTAACTTAGTTTTGTTCATATTACATCATGTGCACCTTTGCACTGTGGTGAATGTAATAAAATATGTTCTTTGTATTTAGTAAATTTATTTTGTTTTTTCCTTGAAATTTTACTATGGAAATTTTTTGTACTTGTTTATTCTTTAAAATGAAATTCCAAGCCTGACTGTGCAACCTGATTAAAGAATAAATGGTACACTTCATTTATTTATCAACATTATATTCAAATAAATGTAAAAATAAACTTTCTGTAAAGCAGGTTGTATGTTGTACTCAAGATAACAAGGTGAACCTAACAAATACAATTCTGCTCTCTTGTGTATATTATTTTTGTATAAAAAACTAAAAACAGAAATCATACTTAATATGGAAAATGGTATGAAGAGACTTCTACTCTGCAGAAGGTAGATTAAGGTATGTGAGGAAATAAAACACAGAGATATCCTCGTTAAGTTCATTAGTATACATCTAGTAGAAAATGTCCATTGCCAGTTATTTACATGTTTGTAATTTATAAGGAATGTGATTGCTGGGGTTTCATATGTAATAAGGGGAAGCCAGTAATTCAAGGTAATAGTGTGTGAAGAGAATGTAGAGAGAAAAAAAGGGTTTAAATGTGATTATGAGGACCTTTCACTTTTTTTTTTTTTCTGAGACGGAGTTTCGCTCTTGTTACCCAGGCTGGAGTGCAATGGCGCATTCTCGGCTCACCACAACCTCCGCCTCCTGGGTTCAAACGGTTCTCCCGTTTCAGCCTCCCAAGTAGCTGGAATTACAGTCATGTGCCACCATGCCTGGTTAATTTTTTTTGTATTTATTTTGTAGAGACAGGGTTTCACCATGTTGGCCAGGATGGTCTCGATCTCCTGACTTCGTGATCCACCCGCCTCGGCCTCCCAAAGTGCTGGGATTACAGGCGTGAGCCACCATGCCTGGCCCGTCCTTTCACTTTTAAAGAGAGGGGAGAGAAGAGCCACAAAGGAAAACAGGTGGAATGGCTGCACACTAGAAGGCAACTAGAGGAAAAGGTAATGAAAGCGTATTTAGAAAGAAAAATGCTTGAGCTTAGGAGTTCAAGGCTGCAGTAAGCCATGATCGCAACACTGCACTCAGGCCTGGAAGATAGAGGAGGCGGGACCACATCTCAAAATAAACAAACAGAAGGAAATAAACGTACTGAGAAGAGGATTTAGTGGATTTGCCCAACGTGTGGCTTGAAACTGCTGACTAACTGGGAAATAGATGGCACTGGCACCCTTAGTGAGGATTGGTTGGGTAAAATTAATACACAGAAGAAGACAGAAGTGGAAGTGTAAATAAGGTAAGGTAGTGACCTGAAGTAGAGAAAGAAATAGAAGAATGCGGGTTATTTTTTCTGTGCACAATTTTTCTTTTTACAATGTATATTTTTCTGAATAGATTTCATGTAATTGAGGTACTGGAAAATGACATTAATATATTTCATATATTTATTTTAAATTATGGAATATTTAATTGCAACAGTACTTTATCAGTTTTAATTAATACTACTGTGAATATCAGAAAGATGCCTACTTTGGTTAATTTTTTATGCAGGAATAGGTAACTACTTCAATCTTTCATTTAAATATTCAATTAATATTGACAATATAATGGTTACTGCAATTACTGGCTTTATTAAGTTATTTAGCTTGTGCCATTGTCATGCTGGTTTACTACAATTTGACTGCAATTCTCTGGTAGAGCCAGATATGATAAGAACTCTTTGGTAATTTTTCCTCATTTTATGAATATTACACTCTTACATTAATCCAAAAATAACTAAATTACCATAAGCACATAAACTGGCAAACTTTCTTCACAAATTAAATTGGGAAACTGGATCAGAGAATCTCTTCCCCAATACTTAAGGGAAAAAAATTAGTCAAACCAGCTAAAAATACAACCTGAAACAGAAAGTACCAAAGAGTTGTGTATAATTCAGGAGTACAAGGAGACTTAACAATTGTAATAGAAATCCAGAATACAAAACTGACAAAATCACCCATAATTCACATTAAAGACTTTGATATTGAAATTTCATTTTCTTGGATGTATGTGTGATGTTGGTCAACCCATTTAATCTCTCTGAGCTTCACTCTTCTCATAAAAATTGGGTGCAAAATATTTATATAGTTGTGAGTATTAAAAAAACATGAATTTTTAAGCACCTGCCACAGTATCTTCCATCAAGTAAGAAGTTAAAATATCATAGATGTTTCCCTGTTTTTTTTTCAGATGGCTGTAGATGAGGACATTGTTTATCTTTCTATAAAATTCTTAGGATCTGTGTTCTATTTATCACTAAGTGACCGCCAATGGAGGCAGCCTAAAAAAACTAGATTCTGTTATCATCTATAGAGAGGTTGAAAAATGGTCACTCCTAATTTCAAAGAAATGACCTATTTATATGTGGTCAAGGAATGCTTGCTTGTATAAATACCTGAGACAGGAGAATAAACATATAGATTGAAGTGCAGAAGACATGTGATGTTTATTTACTGATTCAGGCACTTGGCACATTCCCTCCCTGGCTCTCAGCGTTCCAGGAGGCACTTCCATATCACCAGGGTTTCCTTTCTTTCCAAGGTGGATACCCTGTGGTACCCTGGTCATTCATTCCCTTGAATTTCCTGCCCATTCACACATAGAAGCTTTCTGTTACATTGTGGTTCTGGCTTCAGATAGCTTCCCTAAAGAGCACAATGTCACATGGAGAAAGCAGAAGTGAGGTAAAACTTCTAGGTTTACAGAAACAGCTGCAAGAAGGGTTTCTAGAATCTCCATTGAATATGACATAACAGTAGCTTAGCAAAAAGGAAAGAGAAAGCAGAATTCAGTTCATGTGTAGGCTCCTGCAAACCTCTCAGGGGAAAAGAGTCCCCTGGGGCCAAGTATGACAGGGCAGCAACCAAGACTGGAGAGCAGGTTTCTCATCTATGAAGAAATCCTTCTGGTTCAGGGGATTTCTCCACATGCTGCAAAAAGGCTACTTCTTAGCCAGAAGAGATACTCATGTGGACATAAGCATGTCTCCTTACCCTTGGTCTATTACAAAGAGAATGAGTTTCTGGCTGCAGTCAGGGAATGGACTACTTGGGATTTCCAGTTATAGGGACAGAGAGACTGCATTCCCTGCAGACCCGTCTATGCTCCCTAGAATCAGCCTTTCCACATGCATTAGGACTCCTGGGGACACACAGAGCTGCCACTTTGGATTGAAACTTAATACTATTCACAAAAATATCATGTTTATTAGTGCATTAAACTCTTGACAATGCAATCTTATTTTCACAGATTCATTCCTAATAACAGAGTTCAAACTTTAATCAAAACATTTTCTCATTGTCACTTTAGATAGTAATCTTGACAGCTCAACTCAGCAATAAAAACTGTGCCTAGTTAGCAAAAGGGAAAAATCCCACAGAAGCTAAGGAATATAAAAGAATATTATTATTATTCTCTCTAAGAGCTAGTGAGGTCCGTTTATACAAATGTATCAATTTTGGTATAATTTGAGTGACATTCCTTTAATTGGCACCATGTTTCCATGGAGGTATTTCCCAGGAAGTGTGTGTGACTTGCTGAGGTAGCAGGGATGAAGAGCACAGGGGTCTCTTGAATCTTATCCTTAAACTACACAATCAACATCATATACATAGATACCTAGAAATATCTAGATGCATTAAGCATATATGGCTATCATGGTCTTATTTTATAGATATGTGGTTATCTTCTTATTTTATACATATATATCAAAATCATGAACACTCTCCTCAAACTCAGTAACTACTACCTTTGAGAACATGACACCAAAAAACAGAATTCTTGGAAGTATTCTGGAGAAAACTGAAAAATAGTCACCCTTCACATCGAAATATTAATTTTTACATTTGTCAGGAAATGATAGCTTATGAAATATATGGAAGAGAAGTTATTTCCCTAAATCGAAGTAAAATATGCATAACATATACTGCCTGATTCCCATAACCTAGCACAATTCCCTTCCTCTTCTCTGTTTTCTGAATCCCATTCTTCACATTTGTTGGGGTTCAGAAAAAAACAATACTCAGAAGTGATGGTCTCAGAAGCACATGTTCTCTCTTGATTTTTTCCCCCTCCTGTTTCTCACTCTTCAATCTCTAGATGCTAGCCATATAAACTAGAAATCCCCTTTCCCAAGGATTCCATTCTCCAAAGTAAGCCATGAAACCTAAACATATCACTCTTAAGTTTCTGTGGAAGAACTGGTCCTAAAGAAATTCTTTGAACTATCTTGTTCAATTGTAGCTTATAAGACCCCCATTCCAAAAAGAGCTCTGCCCCATGCCTGGGGGGAAGGAAGGCTGCACAGAAAGGTCAAGAAGAATCTGACCAGAAAGCCCATGTTGGGTTTCCTTACTCAGTCTGTTAGCATTAGATCATGCCCTTTCTGCCTAATCACATTTTTACATAGCTGCTCATTCTTCACTGAACTTAAACATTAAAATGAATCTTTTTTTCATGTAACTGTGGGTTTTCATTCTGAAGGCTCCCATGTCACATAAAACTATGATGAAATAAATATGCTTTGCTGTCTTTCTTTTGCTAAAGGGAAGTCAGGTATGATCCTTATAATTGGAAGAAAAGAGATTACACCATTTCTGCTCCTATAGTCCTGGTGATGAGGATGGGATGGCTGAAGCACCTGACTCACCTACTGACGAGGTGAGTTGGCCAAAAGATGGCAAAGAAAAGTAAGAATTTGTATCAAGGTCTATTTTCCTGGATCTCTGCCTGTAGTGCGTAGTCAAGGTTGGAAGGTAAAAATTTCCTGTTTTCTTCTTTCCAACTTCAGGTTAGCAAGAGAAAACTATTTGCTTGGATTGTGCTTCTTGTGAAATTTTGATGTAAAGTATACATTTGTTATTAATCCTTTCCCTTCCAAACACAGATATTGTGTCCC